CTCTGATAGTAGCTGGTTTGATGTGGCTGGTACTCATTCTACTACTGCTCTGGGAGTACCTATGCTGTCCCCCTGATGTTCATTTTAGGTCCTCTTTTTATGTCTAATATATTGTCAATTACATGTCTTCAACCTAAGCAATAAGCTTTTATTATAATGCACACAGGCACGAGTATCAGACCTTGGAAGAAAAAATATGGCCAGATTGATAAAAAAAAACCTGTGTTCATCTTAAAAGTGTCAACAACCAAAATAAAATGTAAATAATGACCCCCTTTAAAAAATATACTTCAAGTTGATAGTATATTTTTAAAGGGGATCATTATTTACATTTTTTGTTTTGGTTTTTATAAACACAGTTTTTTTTATCAATCTGGTCATCTGGTCATATTTTTTCTTCCCAGGTCCGATACTCGTGCCAGTGATTATATGCTGATGACTCAGGAATCCTTGGTGTCTCATAAATAAATCTGAAAGAAATTCTTTCTTATAGCATAAGTCTTATAAGATTGCTTAATTGACTATAAATTGTCTTTGCATCTTGGCAAGACAGAGTCTATTCTTCTTTGGTTTAAAGTTTCAACTTAAACTGGCCCTAGCCTCCAGGTCACATGTAATGGTACTGCTATAAAGTACACATCTTTTGTTAAGTATTTAGGTGCAAATCTGGATCAAATTCTTTTGGCGTCGCCCTTTGATGCTTTGCATCAATGATTTTCTTGTTAATTGACTGGTATTTGTCATATTTATATCCCTACAACAGAATGTTTTAGGGAGCTATTCTGGAATCACTTTATGGTGTTTGTCAGTCTGTCAGTCGATCACCTCTGTGTCTTTAAATACTTTATCCTCAAAGATTCTTTCCAAACTTAACTTAAATGCCTTAACAAGTCATTGTGCAAAACCCATAAAAGCAATGTGCCAATTTAAGGTCATGGTCACACTGGGCAGTTTTGTGTCCAATTAAACCTTTACCTCTTTAAAGAATGTTCTTCAATCATGGCTCAAATGCTTACATGAACATGGTGATGTTCAGAACCCATGACACTGCTGTGCTGCCTCAAGGTCAAGGTCATATATAAAAGAACCTGTTGAGTTCCTTAAAGATCCTGCATAAAATCTTGTGTCATAAAGATGGTTAGAGTATTTGTCACCAATTTGGCAGCTTTAAATGGATATATGAGGTCTAGGTCACTAGTTAAAAAAGATTTCCTTTTTTTTTGTCAAAGAGTTTAAATTCCCCCAAAAGAGGAAGAAAAGTTTAAAAAGGCCCCCTTTTTTTAATTGGGAAAAAAAGTTGTAATATTTTAAAACAAAACAAATTGGGTTAAAATTTTTAAAAAAAATAGACAAATTGGTTTTAATTGCTCCCTTTTTTTTAATTTTCTTAATAGATATAAAAATTTGTTAAATTTGTAGAAATGCGGACATTGTCTTAATTTGTTTTTTAAAGGGTTTAAGAGGTTTTGGGGTGGGGGTAAGGGTTAGTATTTTACCCTTAAAATAAGTCAAATATAACTTCTGTTTATAACTGTTATGTTTTTCTAAAGTTTTGAAAAATAATTTAAATTCTGTGTGTTTGGGTGATAACCAGGTAGGGGGGTTATACATTGTTTATTTGTAAATGTAATCTTAACACTCAAAACCAAGCCAAGCCAAAATTGTGTGAGGGTAAATAAAAAGATGTGTTTGATGTTTCATTTAGGAGATGTGAATACTTAAGATAATTATAAAAATTTTAATGCAAGATTTCTTGTGCATTAAAGTTATGTAAATGAGTTGCACATAATTGGGATGTTGAAAAGTTTTTATTACATAATATTATCTTAAGAAAAAAAGGAATGTAAATGTATTTATTTCATTGAAACTTTGATTTGATAAACATGACCTAGGATTTGGGAGGAACATCATGTATGACCGAATGCCTTGCTGGCATTATAATGAAGATATTGTCTGCAGCATCTAGATAATATGCCTCCTTCAACAAGAACAATAAAAGGATACTTTACTGTGTCAGAGCAAATCATTTTGGTGTGCTTTTTCCTCATACATTTTAAAGAACAATATGTCTGTATAATTTTGCTCAGAAGTTCTCTGGCAATTGAGTAAAAATCCTCTTGGTATTATGTGAAGAAAGAATAATTCTGACTTGGTGCAAATTCCCTTCTTTGACACGAGTTATAGCCCTGAAACCATTAGTTAGTCTTATATAGGGAATTTTCGTATTTAGAGAATACGCTGTTTAAATTAATCTGTCTTCTACGATGAGCTATTTTATGTTTAGATTTTTAGTGACTTTCAGCAGTGAAAGACTTGGTAACTCTCACTTTTATTCTCATGATCATAGTAGCTACATTGACTATATTAGGGTTGAATACTTAAGATAATTAATAAATTATAACAAACTTGATTAAATTGAAATAGTTAATTTGGGAAAAATCTATTTATTGTAAATGTCTTTACATTAACTGTTTATAAACATATTGGATTGGGAAAAATCATGTATATTATGAAGAATGCCTTCATATAATCGAAATAACATTAAATATGTTTAAAAACATAAAGATACTTTTTGTGTGAAATCATTTGGGTGCTTTTCTATACATTTTATAAAAAAATAGTTTTATTGTGCCCCCAAGTTTCGGCATTTGATTTAAAACCCTTGGTTGTAGAAGTCGTAATACCCTCCGTCACATTCACTTTTTTGTCAGAGTATACTGAAAATCTAGTTTGACCTAGATCAAGGAAACCTTTCAGAATAGAGATACAGCATGTTTCAATTTGTTTTTCACCAAAGGTAATATTTATGTTAATTTATTTAGTATTTTTCAGAGTTATTGCCTCTTTTAAAAAATTTTTCAATTTTTCAATGTGTCGCAAGTTCTTTGACATAAATTAGGTTTACATATATTAAAACTTATAAACTTGGTTATTGTTGTATTTTGATTTTTGCTTGTTTGAAATTTGATCCACTATTTTTAGAGTATTTACACTTATTAGTAAATATAATTTAGATAAATAAATATATGTAGCAACTGACACCATTTGTGTTTGGACAAAAATTTCTATTTTTTATTTTTTGGATATTTCATTGTTGTATATTGGATACAGTATAGAGGTAGTATAATATAGGAAGTATAGAAACTCATCTGCTGCACAATTAAACTTTCTGTAAACAACTCACTTCTGTTTCTATATGATAATTTCTTCATTCTAATTTAATTATTAGGTAAGGTGATACAGACTTATGGTATAAGCCAATGTGGAATTTTATGATTATATTTGATACATGACATGAAAAACAACACAGTAAACTGATGCTATTTACATAGTGGACAACATGAGTATAATTCTTGTTTTTCTTTCTCAGTATTCCAACTTAATTTATTGTATTTCAATATTTGATAATAACTTGAGAACTAAACACTTAGTTGTGTGTTGTGTGCAAATAAATAATTGTCGCATTTATCATGTAAGGCATTGATTAGAAACTTCATCTATGTCTGAGAGTCATTGTACAACATCTAAGGCTATATAACAGATTTTGACTTATTTTTTTTTTGCAATTTTTTTTGAAGAACTAATGTCTTTGGGATGATATTCTAGCATTGACTTTGAATTATGCCCCTTTGTGAACCTCTTATTTAGGTTTTACATGCAAGATCACCTTTACAACTACTAAAGTTAGTCTTGTTTTGACTAAATAAATATAGTTGAACTTGAAATCTTCACTTATTTTTCTATCATGATGCTGTTGGGGCTTAAGCACAGAATGGCTGAACCATTACATACACAGTACACACTTTTCCACTCATTTATAATTTAGAGATACCTTTTTTATCATCATATGAACAAATTAAGATTCATGTTTATTTTATCTTGTATAGTAAGTTCACTATATAGTAGAACATTGTTTGGACAATGGAGAAGACAAATAATGAAGCTGGACCACTAAACGATTATGGTGATGAAGGAAAGGAAAAAATCAGACAAAGCCCAACTGTGAGCTTTGAGAAAGGAAAAACTGTAAAACGTAAAAAAGTGTTAACAATTAACTCTGACTGTTCTGATGATGAAATGGGGAAACCAAAGCCTGAGATTGTAAATGTAGAACATCCTACAAATGTGGAGCAAAAGAACTCTGATGTTTGTAGAAGATTTTATGCAAATTGTGATGCTACATATCGTTCATCATGGCATGGTTCACTTCCAAAACCTCAAACAGAGCCAGAAATGGCTGGAGGTGCTACTTCCCATATAACTGTCAGATCAAGAAGTCATGGAAACCTGCAGCAAAAGTCAAAGTTGAATTTTTTTAAACGTAAAAGTTTCCCAGTTAATCCATCACCCCCACCGTCCCCATCAAAATCCGGTCAGTTAGGATTTAAGTCACTGTTTCAAAATATTAAAAGGATTAAAAAGTCTAATAATTCAGATAAAGATGAAAGAAATAAAAAAAGTGTCACTAATGAACAAGTTGTTGTTAACACAGAAACTGATTTTGATCAAACTGACAAGAAAAGTGTAAGAAACAGTGCAGAAATACAGCCTGCTGACTCTTGTAGAAATAGATCACATCATACACAATGTTCAGACACAGGTCTAGTGGTCCAACACACTCCTACTCTAACAGACAATCAGTTACAGTGCCAAATTGTAAATGATACCCAATCAGAAGGTTTACTTTCAAGTTCAGTTGAGACTTGTACTAGGACTCACCCTATTCATACATTCCAATTAACACAGTGTAGGAACATTGAAAATCTGCCTTTGAGGGCTTCTTCTATATTTGGGAGAGCTCGTTCAAAAAAATCTGTGATAAAGGAAACAGAAGAGAATTTAACTCATCCTGGAGTAATAGTGCTTCTTTCTGTGATAAATTTTATTTTATGGATGTTTTTGTTTTCTGTGAAATTTCTGAGATATACAGCAAAAGTTTCTATTTGGATTTGGTTGAAGCTATTGTACAGTTTTGATTTTATTATAAAACTTTTCTACAGGATATTTAACATTGACCCAGAGAAGGCCAACCAGAACAGTGACTTTTCTCACATTGAAAGTAAGTATATTATTTTATTTTTATTCCATGATGTAAAAACTCAAGCTAAAGTAGAAAAGCAGTAATATTTTATTATTATTCCATATTTTCATGTTTTACTTAAAGTGATATACTAGTCAAAATCAGTGCAATAAATAATCAACTGTTACCCAAGCATTTCAGATTCAGTTAGAAAAATTGGAAGATTTGCAGGTAAACATCCGGAATGAGCTTGAAAACTCACCAACATTGTTGATATTTCAAAACTATCATGTTTATTTACATGAGATATTGCGAAATCCAAGGGGAAGAACCACTATTGATATTTTTGTTACTTGACACTAAGCATTATTATCCCCCGCTGATAGATCGGGGGATATTGTTTTGGCGTTGTCCGTCCTTCTTTATTATTTCTTTTTTTGTAACATATTAATTATCTAATGAAATATGTAATATATGTTTCAGGTTTTCATATATTTCTTATTAATAGGTTTTGATAGTATTTCAGTTGTAAAGCAATGGGCAATTCATATGAATCAGTGGCGTAAACAAATTATTTCATATGCATAGTTTAATTTCAAAGTGTAATGAGGTTGGTGTACCTAATTTTAGCTTCAAATTTGATCATTCCTACCTACCATACTTTTTTGAATCAGGAGGTTTTTTTAGCTCACTGAAGCTGGCTAAGAGTTCAATGAATGTCTGTTGTCTGTTGTTAACACTCTTGTGGTCATATTTTTGCCTCAACCTGGGATCATAAACAAGGTCACACAGCTGAAATATAGAAAAAAACCTTGTTAATACTCTGGAGATTACTTTTTCAACCGGAATATCCTTGAAATCTATCAAAAAGGTTGTTTTGCTGATTTCTAGCTTTAGAAATTATATTTTAAACCCAAATTTCTCAGAAAGGTTGTTTTAATAATATCTTGCTTAAGTTTGAATATTGGTCATCTGAGGTAAAAAACTAGGTCACAGAGCTCACAAATAGAAAAATCTCAAGATGTAACATTTTCATCCCAAATATCCTTGAAATTGGTCGGTAAGTTCTAGGTCAGGTTTGGATATGGGTCATCTGGGGTCAAAAACTAGGCAACAGAACCCATATGTGAAAACAAAACCTTGTTAACACTGTAAATGTGATATTTTCAGCCTAAATATTTTGGTTATTTGTCAGGAAGGTTTTTTTTGATGATTTCTAATTCAAGGTCGAATATGGGTCATCTTGGGTCAAATATGTTGTTGGATACAGATCATACTACAGTATGGTGATTGTTTTACAGTATACTGATATAAATGTACAGTATGGTGATGGTTCTACAGTATACTGATATAAATGTACAGTATGGTGATGGTTCTACAGTATACTGATATACATGTACAGTATGGTGATGGTTCTACAGTATACTGATATACATGTACAGTATGGTGATGGTTCTACAGTATACTGATCATTCAACTGTATGGTGATAGTTTAATTGTGTGATTGTTCTATTGCATTGTGATTGTGTTGTTTTAAGATGATGATTGTTCTATTGTGTGATTAATTTTCTAGGTGTTCTACGACAGTTAAATGAGAGTAGATCAGAGCTGGAGGACCTGTGGGCAGCTAGAAAACTCAAGCTAGACTTGTGTCTTCAGTTGCGTTTGTTTGAAAGAGATGCATTAGAGGTAAGATTGTAAGATTAATATTATAACTGTTGCTAGAATTGGCTTCTTGTACCTTAAAGTTGCATTTTAATCTCCAGGCCCCGTGTTCACAAAGAAAAGTTAGATGATCTTGATTTTATTTTCATTGTTTTATGAAACTAAAACTGATCGTATAATGCTAGAATCAAATGGTACATATTCGAAATATAAATAATTGTTTATATGCAAAGAAACCAACCTTTTTTGGGATAAAATCAACAAATATAAACAAAACAAATACAAAAATAATCTGATCAAAATGAGGATCAATTTGAGGATCAAGATCAAAATTTGGATCAACTGTTAAATGCTCGAATCTTGTAAAAATGACAATAAATTTATTCTAGAATTTCATAAACATGCTATTTCAAGTCCAGTTTTAGCAAGTTAACACTGAATATTTAATCTATAAGGATAAATAATGGAGAATACAGTAAAATGCCACCTAACGACCACGCCACAAATAGGACCACGCCGTTATTACGGGCACTTTTTAAAAGTACAAAATATTTGCCTTCTTTATTCATTGAGACAAATGACCAGTATACCGACCACGTCTCTAATCCGGCATAACGACCACTTCTGTCAGACATTTGTGTGTATTTCTTATCAAAACATTAACCTGTATTACGACCATGCAACATAATGGCCAGACATCACTTTGTGTTTATTGCCCCCCATTAATTGTTGTAATCTTCTCTCTAGCGTAAACAAATACACCAAGTCAAATGAGGTCATTAATATATATCGATTGATTTAGACGCTTGCTTAACGATGTATCTTTAGCATTCAAGCGTCAACATGATCAGTTTAAACCACTTCTGGCTAATTAATCTAAGCAGCTATGGTGTGAGAAACGATTAATTTGTCAGCGTAATTAGGATGTAATAAACAGGTAAACAGCATTTAAAATTGTTGTGGATCACAATTTATAGCAAGTATGGTAAAAATTGATAATGCAGCTATGGTGTGAGAAACGATTAATTTGTCAGCCTAATTAGGATGCACAGGCACCAGATACAATTATTTTACCCATATACATAATACTATATATAAAGTATATATATATATATGAGCGTATATGGGTAAAATAATTGTGTCTGGTGCCTGTGTTAGGATGTAATAAACAGGTAAATAGCATTTAAAATTGTTTGTTGTGGATCACAATTTATAGCAAGTATGGTAAAAATTGATAATTACACCAAATTATCAGTTCATGTGTGCTTTATTTTGATATGTAATTAATGTATAAATCATGAGAGTTATTGGCGTCCGCGCCGAAGCGCGGCGCTCTTATGGAATGAGATCAGATTTTGTGAAAGGGCGACAGCAACTTCTCGAGCCTTTTAGTCGAATAAAAGCCGAAAATTCCGATCGGTATGAGGGTGCTTGATTATTAAATAAGAATGAAATGTCGCGATATGTTACAATGAATTTTCGCAATGCAAACATTTACAAATGAAATAACCTTTTCCGTCAATAAATCGCGCTCTTCGGAGTTTTTTATTTATCATTTTGTAGTACACAGTCGGTTATCATGTCATGGTATGTTATTGTTGTACATGTATCCTAGAATGATCAGTTGATGACCTAAATATTCCAAAAACCTATTTATAGATATATCTTTTTATCACTCCTATCGGTAAATGCCGGTCTCTCCCGGTCTATTTTGACCAGGATTTACTAGTGACCGCGAATAGTACCACACGTTATATTGTCCGGTCTCTCTCCGGTTTTGGAGTAGATGTTTGATATCGTTACAATTAGAAAAAAAACAACAATAGCATGTTTCATTTTATCTATATGAGATATAAAACAATAAATATGTACACGGATTTATATGTAATATAAATCCGTGATATGTACAATAATTGAGAAAAAGGTACATTTTTTATGGTATTAAAATGACATTATCAACTTTGAAACATTTTATTTAATTATTCAATTTGTTATCCATGTTTAGTAAAGATGCCGAGGAATTATTCAAAGTTACAAATTAGATTTTATGAATTATTCAATTCATCGATAATTTAAAAAATGATAAAGAAAAATACAATGTACATGTACATGGTTTAAGAATAAACAATATTATATATTGAAAGATAAACCATAATTTACTGACTTTTTCCAGTTAAACTTTGACTTATAATCGTCGGTCAATATGACAATTGAATTCTTAAAATTTATTTTACAATTTTAATAAAAAAGAGTAGTAAAAACTCAGTATTAAAAAAGCACATAAACACAAAAAAGAATAAAAGAAAACAATATTCATAAAATTTGTATTTTTTTTAAATTAAAATTAATAGATATTACAATTATTGTATAATAAACAATTATGATCAACATGATCAACATGGTAATATAACCAGTGTCATATTTTTACTAACTTTAAGTGTGAACAGATACCTTAAGGGGGTCTTCGCTAATAGCGATAACATGTACATAATAAGGGACAAATGTGTGGTACGTGTTGATCATGCGTTACACATATGGATTATAAATGATTGCATACATGTATATCCGTTGCTATTAATAACCACGATCATAAAGAAATAACAAGTAATATTCTAATCTCTAGCATGCCAATCAAAGTTCATAATGAACAATGTCTTTCGTCCGCTCATTCATAAGTGGTATACATTTCTGGTAGTTTATAAGAATATCTTGTCATCATATGTGTACTAGTTCATCTTCACTTGCTGCATTTCTTGCTTGGACGCCCTTTGATGCTTTGCATCAATGCTTTTCTTGTAACTATATTAAATACCTCATATTTTTCTTCTAAAGGGGAGACTTAACACACTAGATTAATATTTTCATTATATTAAGGATGTATCATATTATCATTCATTAAAAATGTTTTTTGTTTAAAAAATATGTGTTTCTTTTTACTTATTTAATAAAGTACATTTACCATGTGCATAAAACTATACAAGGTATACATTAAGTTAAGTTGGACTTCGTCAGATATTAAAGTGACTTATTCACTATTAAGACCAACTCACTATTAAGACCACTTTGGTCAGTCCCGTAAGTGGTCTTAATAGAGAGAATTTACTGTATTTGAGTTTTTAAATTTGATCCTGATCTTGATCCTGATCCTTAAATCTTTGTGAACACGGGGCCTGATGAGTAAATTTAATTTAGAAAACTTAATTGAAATAAATTATGCTAATTTTTTACGAAGTGTTTAATTCTTGAATATATAACTTAAAATGCATCTTTTATGCAAATCCAAAGGAATTTACTATTTTCAATCACCATATTATTCTGCTTTAAAACTGCATTTTTCAGCATATTTAGACATATGAAAATTAATTTCTTGAAATACTTATTGTTTTAGGCTTGTTTAAATGACTAATTTTAAAATATGATCTTCACTTTAAAATGAACTTGATCATCATGGTTAAGTTACTGGCTTAGAATAGGATTTTTTCTATTTTCAATAGATTTTGATCTGTAGATTACAAAATATTGATAAAAAGTTGTAGTCCTTTACAGAAATTATATAAATCAAGTTCCTAGGGTCAAAATTGATTCATGTTGTGAAGTCACTTAATTTACATAGCATTAATTTCAATTTTCTGGTATTAATCTACATGGCCTGTCCTTTGGGTTGAAAATAACTCAACTCTGGGTCACTTTTGTTTCATTGACATTTTTAGGAGTCCCAAGCTTTAAGAAATCTTTTCAGAAACTACTTTGCCCACAGCTTAGATATTTGGAAAAAGGAAAGTCTTGTGGTTCTATACAAAAGAGATCATTCCCTTGTGCAAAGGTTGTCAACTTGTTTTGGAAAACAATATTACATCAGATTCTGCTTCTCTAAAAACTTTATTTTTAACAGTTTGTCCTCCTATATTATAAATATTTGCATGTTTATTTTAGGTTTCCTCTCAGCTGGAACTGTGGGCTGAGGAGCTACAGCACCAAGAGTTGGTAACTGATGGTAACAAGGCTGAACAAATGTTGGTCATACATAATGAGAGTGTTCTTCACATGCAAAACTGTACATTTGAGGTGCTACAAAGAGGTCAAGAATTAGCACAGGTAAACACTTGTATTAAGTTGAAATAATTTTATGCACTCATTTGTTTTGCTAAATAATGCAAACAAAGTATAATATATGTGTGTGTGTGTGTGTGTGTGCTTGTACACGTGTGCTTGAAAATGTTTATGCTGTGTTAGGTATATTATGTTGTTTTATGGGATTTCTCCAGACAGGTTAGCAAGCAGCATCCAGTTTTGCCTGATGCATATGGTCATCTTAGGATAGCTCATAATGTTGATGACAATGTATTGCGTTACATTGAACTGTTAATAGTCTTTATTTGCAAGTTACTTTTCTTGACTTTAGTATAATTTACCAATCAAAGGAATTTACATTAGTCACATTTGACTTGTTTTCCAATCCCCGAAATCTATCAGTGTGATTGTATATGCTTACTGTATATATTTATGTTGTATAAATTGATATAAATATTGTTTAAAATGACTTTAGTATGCAGTCAGCTGTTCAGTTTAAGACAATCATTTGTTTGGTTTTTAACCTCATTATATGGACATGTTTGTTTAGCATGATCAAACTTATAGAAGTTAACAAACATGTCAAACAGTCTGATCACCATTTGTTCTTGGTTAAATTAAAATAAGACAGTAGTGGATGATGTTAACAAAAGCTGCAGTCAAGTCTGCACCAAAGAAAACAAGAAAATTCTCAAGTGATAGTTCAAATAACTAACAGTGGTTACATTATGAAAATTACTTGATGTTTTGTGTCATTTCCTTGTCAGCCAAATCACTGAGAAATTTGTTTACATTTTGTTTTGTTACTCAAAGCATGTAGAGACAGATAGCTTAAAGCAAGTTTTTGGACCTGGGATCCCTGTTTTCTGTAAGTGTGAGTGCCAGGATCCGCAAATTTGGACAAGATGTATAACGCTGCACAAATATTTACCCTGTGAGATGTAGTGTAGTGCGCCTAAACCATTTCTCTAGGTCATGGTCACATAGGCCAATGGAAAATGTTGCCCTGAGCAATAATTCTAGATGTATCTACAAATTTTAATATAACTTTGCATGTATGTTAAGCATTGTCAGACAGAGAGTACTGTACAGAATTTGAGTCCAAGTGATCAAGGTCATGCCTGGAGGTCAAACATCAGTTAAAAATTTAAATATATGTGTATGAGCTTTATTTAGAGATTTTATCAAAAATGTTCACAATCATGAGACTGAGTTTTACCAGCATAATCTGATACAGATAGGAAAAGACATATGAAATGCTTGTACAGAGCAAAGCTTTACATGCAGTGATGGATTTTAATATTGCATACATGTAGCACAAATGATCACTATTATGAAGCAGAGTGTTAAGCACAAACTCAGGTTCCTGTGGTAAATGTAGGGATGTACACATGGAAGTCAAAGATCAAAAGAGTATGACAATGTGTGTGTGGACAACTTAGTAGTTTTGAACTGGGGATTTTATCATAGAATGTTCACAATAAGAAGATTTTGTGCATGTAAAGCATAATCAAGTAATAATGATACCAAGTCAAGGTCGCCATAGATCATGAAATGTCCAGATTTTGTTCAAAGCATATTTTCTACAAGCGTGGATAGGTTTTATGTTTTGATACTACATTATACAAATATCCACCACTATGAGAAGATGAACCTGGTCTTGAGGTTAACAGTCAAAGATCAGAAATAAAGGTTGTTAATAGCAAAACTTCTACATGATTTAATATTACTTGGCATAAATGTTCTCAAACGTTAGCCAGTGTGTCACACACAAAAATAAGGTCTATGTAGCCAAGGTCAAGGTCACATATAGAGGTCAAAGGTCAGACTGAATAGTCTTGAAATTAAGTTATGTTGACAAAAATGTCAATGTACGAGTATGTAAGGTCAAGGTCACTAGATATGAATAAATACAGAAAAAGGTGTTTAATTTTGATTATTTAATTTATATAGGTATTTATTATGCCCCCGCCATGTAATGGCCGGGGCATATAGTGTTACCCTGTTCCGTCATTCCGTCCTTCCGTCCTTCCATCCTTCCGTCCTTCCGTCCTTCCGTCATTCTGTCATTCCGTCATCATCAGTTTCCGTTCATTATCTTAAGAACGGTTAGACATATTCAACTCAAATTTGACATATGGATATGTCATGAGAAAATACAGGTCAAATTCGAATTTGGTCATGGTTCGATGATTTTTGGCAGAGTTATGCCCCTTTTACTTTGAAAATAATATGAAATTTCAGTTTCCGTTCATTATCTTAAGAACGGTTGGACACATTCAATTCAAACTTGACATATGGATATGTCATGAGAAAATACAGGTCAAGTTCGAATTTGGTCATGGTTCGATGATTTTTGGCAGAGTTATGCCCCTTTTACTTTGAAAATAATATGAAATTTCAGTTTCCGTTCATTATCTTAAGAACGGTTGGACACATTCAATTCAAACTTGACATATGGATATGTCATGAGAAAATACAGGTCAAGTTCGAATTTGGTTATGGTTCGATAATTTTTGGCAGAGTTATGCCCCTTTTACTTTGAAAATAATATGAAATTTTCAGTTTCCGTTCATTATCTCCCCAATGGTACAACACAATCAACTCAAACTTGACATATTGATATGTCATGAAAAAATACAGGTCAAGTTCGAATTTAGTCATGGTTCGATGATTTTTGGGAGAGTTATGCCCCTTTTACTTTGAAAATAATATGAAATTTTCAGTTTCCGTTCATTATCTCCCTCAAGGTACAACACATTCAACTCAAACGTGACATATGGATGCGTCAAAGGAATGCGCAGGTCAAGTTCAAATTTGGTCATGGTTCAATGATTTTTGGCAGAGTTATGCCCCTTTCACTTTGAAAGTAATATGAAATTTTCAGTTTCTGTTTATTATCTCCCCAATGGTACAACACATTCAACTCAAATTTGACATATGGATATGTTTTTGGAATGCCCAGGTCAAGTTCAAATTTGGTCATGGTTTAATGATTTTTGGTAGAGTAATGCCCCTTTCACTTTGAAAATAATATGAAATTGACAGTTTCTGTTCCTTATCTACCCAACAGTGTCACATATTCAACTTTAATTTGACATATGGATATGTCAAAGGAATGGGCAGGTCAAGTTCGAATTTGGTCATGGTTTGATGATTTTTTGGCAGAGTTATGTCTCTTTCACTTTGAAAATAATATAGATATATCATAGGAATAAGCAGTTTAAGTTGGAATTTGGTGGTGGTTCAATGATTTTAGACAAACTTATCTTTCCTGAATGTTGGAAAAATTTTGAACTTTCAGTTTCACCACTCATTCTTTTAGCCATTATTTTGGCTACAAATATGCAATATGCTATTTCTAAAAGGTTAAGACTGAATAATTTCAGTGCTTTGAACATTTTATGGAAATAGTTTGTGTTAACATTGAAAAGTTTTAAGGGCTTTGAACTTAAAATGAAAAAAATAATTAAAGCACCATCTGAAATTTTGGCTGCATGCGGGGGCATCCGTGGCATGATGACACATTTCTAGTTGGCTAAATAATGCTAAATCTAGTAATAAAATTGGTATCTGATATTTTCAAAGTGTAATAAAATAAAAACTGGACTGTAAAATTATTTGATATTTTACAAGATCAACCAATAAACTTCTTTGAAAATTTAGGGAAACTTTGAAATCAGGAACTGAAAATTTAGGGAAACTTTGAAATCAGGAACTCATTTGGGTAAGGATTTTTTAAATTAGGCTCCCTTAGTAGGAAAATGGTCAAACACGTGGTAGGGTAACATTTTTATACATATTTCATAAATTTTGAGTAGAAACCATAATTTTGCTTATATGGATTGTTCGCTAAATGGTACTATTTGTTTCTTACCGAAAATTAATGGGAAAACATTTTTCATTAGGATGTTATTCCAGATTATTTAAAGGTTCCTCTTTTCCTCATAACATCCTAGCTTCAGTTCAGAAAAGTGGCCATAACTTGATTTCCGTATGGTAAAGTTTGTTTGAATTTTGCATACAGGTGTAATTATCTGACCTATGTTGTCAGTTTTTCAGTTCCTTAGAGTGCCCATTAGGGTGGTCATACCTTAATAAATTTTTTTACAAAACTATACATTTATGACTTGATTTAAATAACATTCTATTCTATTGAAAGATTTAACAAAGGAAAGGAAAATATTAATCTCATTTTCAATAAAACAGAAATCTTCAAGTATGGAACACTAGTTCATTCACAATTTACTTATTATCTCAATAGAATCATTGTTTCTAAATAATGTTCTCAATTGCCACAAAACAAACAAGCTGTTCAGTCTGTAAAATGCTGCATACTGGTAAATGAAAAAATGAAAGAAGTTGTGAGTCAATTATAAACATCTGGTAACTCCCTTAATGACACCCTGTCTTTGAAGTGCATTAGCATAAGTTAATTGTGCTCCCTTTGTGAGTTATGAAATTGATATAGAATGTGTGCTGTACTTGATGTGTGTGAGAGTTCTAGCTGGAGTTTTATATATACAGGTGTAGTTACTGCTGTTATATGGAATTATTATATGTGAGATTATAGATATTGGTTTGATTTTTGTGTTTATTTTGATGCTGACTAATGTCAATATTGATATTGTACAGAAACTTGTTCTATCATTTTACTGCTCTTCTACAATGTTTTATTATTTTGAATGTCAGTAATTTTATGAATGTATATTTTTTTTATTGCCTTTTACTTTGTTTGTGTATAATTTTACCTGTGCTTATAAATTAAAGTTGTAACACTGCCTATCTTTATATTTTTGATCATAAAGAAATAGTGTTACTCTGAACACATACAGGCTAAATGTTATAGTTGGTTCTATAACTTTGGATGAAAAAGAAATGATACTTATAAATAAGGGCCAAAGTTTAGGTTACTAAACTGATTATGATAATTTTTTACTGTTTTGCTCATGCATGTTTTACTTAGTAACTGATGACTGATGTCTTTCATATTTGATAGGGTTTTCCACTTGGGTCAAGGTCACTATATATATATAAAATCACACGAAAAAGCGGCACGCCTCAGCCAAAACTCGAACCAAGGGTCTCTGGATTGCCGGTCCAGTATGCTAACCACAGCCGCCGTTGCGTTTGCGGTCACTGTGGTGTAGTGGTTAGCATACTGGACCAGCAATCCAGAGATCCGTGGTTCTGCGCCTTTTGCCTCTGTGGCCGTTGTGGTGCATATAATTTATATATAGATTACTCTTATTTGTGTTTTTTATATTACTTTCATAGCATATATATATTTTTTCCTCAATAATGAAAAATGTATGTTGAAATACAAGAATATTATGTGATTATAAATGACATTGCTGGCATGTATTTGTACAAACCACAAGACATATTTAATTAGTTATGGAACATTTTCTGGTATTAGAGGTGTACATCCGGTATCCACCATGTGTTAATTTCAATTGTCTGTTTTTTGTCAATGCAGATTTTCATGATAACTTTGTCTTACCATTTTTTTCGTATTCTAAGTTTCTTAAGGTAGTACACCCCTAATGGGCACTGTAAGGAATTGTAAATTTGACAACATAGGACAGTTATATGCCTTAAATGTCACCTGTATGCAAAATTTAAACAAAATTTACCGTGTGGTTTATGAGTGATGGACATTTTTATGAACTAAAACTTTGCCATTAGAAAGGATTTTTTTTCAGAAATGAGGAAACTCTAAATAATTTATAATATCATCATTATGAAAATTGTTTCCCTTTTGCTCATTGTTAAGAAATAAATAATGACATTTAGGTAACAAATTAAACAAGCAAAATGATTGTTTTTAAACGAAATGATTTTAATATGTATAAAAATGTAACCCTACCCCACCCACTTTTAACACTAATTTGACCATTTCCCTATGTAAAAAGCCTTATTTAAAATATCCCTAAAATTTTCCAAAATGAGGGGCTATTTTCAAAGTTTGCCTAAATTTTCTCTAATGTATATTGGTTGGTCTTGCAAAATATAAAATACTTTTACCATTTAGTTTTTATTTTATTAAACTTTGAAAATATCTGGTATCATATTTGCTATTAAATTTGGCATTATTTAGTAAATAAATACCTACAATAATTATATAATTAAAATAAAACGCCCAAGGGGGTCTGAGAGATTAATAAAAAATGTTAAAAAGAAAAAAAAGAAAGAAAAAAAATTGCCCCTTCTGGGGTTTGAACCCACGCCCCCTCAGTTTCAATACACTTTACAGTGATTTTAGCCTATTTGAATACTCTTCAAAGTGGAGACAGTGCATTAGGGGTGCACTACCTTAATTCAAACAGTTATTTTAAGTTTTAAATTTGTCAATTACTGCATTCTAAGATTTATAAAGAAAAGAAGTTGAGTAACAATTGATGTAAAAAAATGCATATTTGATGACAGGATTTTAAAGTTAGGAGAATCTGATGAATGCTATCAGAGTTGAAAGTTCTGTCCAGGTTACAGTAAGACATAATTATAACAAGGAATTATGGGTTATAGATATGAGTGTGGACTGTATGTTTTCTTTTGGACCTGGGATAAAAGGTCATTTGGTGTATAATTAATTATTGGGTATTGGTATTTCAGTTATTTGAGACAACAGGTGTTCAGCTAATGGCAGACTCACATTATGATGCCCCTACTCGTATACAAGAGTTGTTGGAATATTTACATGAGAGAGAGGTGGATTTAGAGACTCTTGCTGATACAAAGAGGAGCCGACTAGAACAATGTGTACAATTGAGAAACTTTGAAGTCGAAGCACGGCAGGTTTGTAAAATTCTACAATTAAAGGTAACATTCCTGTTCCTGGACAGTAACAATATTACATAAAACCCAAAAATAAACATTTAGTATGCTTTCTCATTAGTAACTTCTTTAAAAAAGAAGAAGCTGCAATGGTTTATATGTCTTTTAATGTTTTATAGTAAGAAAGACAGTTTGCATTAAAGCAGATAAGAAACCTGTTAACTAATTAGATTTTACTGTAATGGTTAGATGATGTTCATGACAAAATAATTCAGACATTTGATAAACTTATATATGTGTATTTATAATATATCAGGATTAAGTATCTCATGGATTAAGAATATCAAATGGTATAAAACACTTTTGTTAGTAGCCTCTTAAATATAGTAAATTGATTGTTGCAGCTTTGGAAAGAATGTAAATACTGTTACCGATTATATAATTTGTAGGTGATATCCTGGATCAGGAATGGGGAGTCCATGTTGAACGCCAGTTTTATGTGTCCAAATGCTTTAATGGAAGCTGAACAGTTGAAGAAAGAACAAGATCAGTTTATGATGGCAATAGAGGTAGTTTATGATTTGATATAACATAAATTCATAAACAAAACATAGTTTGGACATGAAAAGCTTAAAAAAGCACACGACTTTGATGTCTGTCCTGAAGAACCATTGAAAATGATATTTTGCCTACAAACATTAAACATTTACTGAAAGGTTTGAAGTAAAGGAGCCATTTATTATTATTTGGAAAAAAAGTAAAAGTTGTTAGTAGACAAAACATTTGAGAGACAAAAAGAAGTTTTAATTTTATGTACCTACATTTACTTACTTCTTGTTTGCTGAAATTTGTCTGTATTATGTCAGCTGTGAAACAATAGTGATGTTCTTCCTAACTTCAGGATAAAACTTTAACTGTGTGTGTTTTGAAAAAAATATTGCATTATTCATTTTGATTAATACAAATGTATTATTAAATTATTTTCTCCGAGCTAAAAGTGCTTTTTGTGATGACAATGTGTCCATTGTCCGTTGTTGGTCAGCCATTGTTACCCACAATTTCTTAAAAAAACATATCTTTGTAAACCACTTGTTGGAATTTGAGCAAACTTCACAGGAATGATCCTCAGATGTTCCTCTGCAGAAGTTATATTAATGTTAGTCTAATGTGTAAGTAGGTCACAAGGAGCTAAATAAACTTTAAAATTGAAATCTTTTAAAATCTTACAGTTACAATGCCCAGAGTTTAGATATAATAAAATTACAAAATAGCTTCACTGCTGTCAAGCATCAAAAGTTGTAATAATAGTTTAGAATTTTGGCCAGTATGCATGTATGACTAAACATTTGCAATGTAAAACATTTTATGCTTAAAGACATTTCCTACAGTAGCACCATATTTTACAAAGACAAAGAAGGAAAATTTGAATTAAGGCATTTTTTTAAAAACTTCACTAGTGTAAAAAGAATCATAATTAAAACAAATGAATAAAATTGTGGTCAAAATGCTACTGTTTCTGCCCTTGAAAGTGATTTTTTTGTTTTCTAGGTTATTTTCAAGAGTAGACATAATAAAAACTTTAAGAACCTTCTCCTCAAAATTGGCAACCATTTATCTCCCCTTAGCAACCATTGACTTTCTATAGCAATTAAAGACTTTCATAGCAATTATGAACTATTATTAACTTGCTGAGCAACATGTTAATGTGATTGTAACCGATGACTAAGCATAGCAATCAGTGAAAATTTAGAAATTATTCGTCATGAAAAAATAGGCAAAAAGATTTTTGTTATAAATTATTGAGATCACTGTGATTAAATAGTTAATTCATTCAGATTTTAACATAAAACATGCTAAGTGTCACTGCAAATATTTGAACATTTCTTAAACATGTCAAGTTCTTAAAGTTTGTTAATTTTAATTTTTTGTTCATTACCTGAAGTTCAGCTTAGTAAAGGCTTAAAAAGGAAAACAGGTTATAGTTTTTTGGTTGATATATGTAATGATAATTTAGTGATGGCACTAGGTAGCAAAAATTAGTATTGTTATGTAATATAATTGTATTTTTCAGAAAACACATTACAGTGTTGTACAGGTGATACAGAAGGCTGAGAGTATGATAGGAATGCAACATTATAACTCTGACCTTGTACGAGCTATAGCTGAGAATGTCACTTTAGCCTGGAACCAGCTACGTAATCATTCTGAAGAGAGACACAAACTTGTCATGGCATCAATGACCTGGTATAAGACTGCTGAACAGGTGGGTTTATACAGAGTAGCGGTGACATGTGGGGATCACTGTTCCGTTGTCTGTCTGTCTGCATGATCTAATAGGAATAGGGGGCAATCTTACTGTAAACATAACAAAAGAAAACAATAGAGTTCATTCCATAACAATAGAGTAAGGGACTAATGTCCCTCTATTAAAGAAAAGAAAATAACAAAAGAAATGGCCCCATTCCATTTTGTCTAGACACCCGTCCGTCTGTCCAAGCTTACATTTTGATGCTTATTTGGCTAGGGGAATAATAGGTAACTGTTCTTTCTCTTTGATGTCATCCATTCCGTAAGGCTTATATGTGGCTATTTTCCTTCATGTGGGTTTAATGAACAATAGAGAGAACAATAGAGTAGCCACATAATTACTGTCTTGTAAGAACTTTTGTCTGTCTGTCCGTCACATACTTGTCCGGACTACTCCTCAGAAACTTATGTTGCAATTTCATCCAAACTTTACAGGGATGATCAGTACCAAGTTTAGTTTTGTGTCCACAGGTCAAGGTGAAGGGTACTGTTACTTAAAATCACTATGTGTCACTGAGTTTACATATAACTATGTAGAAAAATACACTTAAATCATCATATGTGAAATGACATAGTCTAAAGCTTCAATATTTGTCTTGCAGATTTGCATTGCAAATCTCTCAAAAATTAAAATATATCTCAAAAATTTAAAATGTTTCATTTCCCTGAGGTAAAAAATTACCCATAGTTAAAGAAACCTTGTTAATAGATAAAAAATATCTCCTTTTTTTGAAAATAAAAATGAATAGGAAAGAACACAAGTAGGTGTGATCAGTGTTTTAAAGGCGAGGTCTGTGTTTAATGTATGTATGTTTTGGGTGTAGTCAATGTTATGTATATTTTATGTTTCAGGTTTGGTCAGTTTTAGAAAGTTTAGACAGAGATTATAAACGTGATGAGGATTGGTGTGGGACAGAACGTGCTAACACCTCAGATAAACCAAACTACATGGTGCAACTTATAAATAAACATAATGAACAGAAAGAAGCTTTTCTCAAGGTATTAAAGCTTATATTCTTAGGTAGATAAATGGAACTGTTAAAGAAATTACTGAATGGCATGAACAGGTCTTTGTTATTACACTGTAATTCTTAATTGACAGCAAAGATAAAGCACCAAAATATTTCTTTTGAAATCATTATATAATACAGCAATATTTTGTTACAAGTTTGTCCATCCTCCCACCTGCTGCCTCACTTGTATACTGTTTCTTTTAGATTCTACATTTATTGTCTGGTATTATTTAATGACTGATACCATAGATATTTGTTTTGTTTATACTTAACATACATTTTCACCATTTTGTGGTTTTGAAGGTTGGTTGGGTCTAGGACATGTTAACTGAAGCCAAAAATTAATATAATTATTATTTTCCTTCCATTTTTCTAGTTTTATAAGAATGATGTCGGGGAGAATTCATTGGTGTTTAGATATATTTCTAAGTATAAATGATTTATTTTCCTCCAGGCATGTACATTAGCTCGTCGAACAGCAGAGAGTTTTCTAAAGTATGTGAACAGAAACTTGCACACTCTCGGAATGCAGATGAAATTCCGCAGTACTGAAGCTCATGTTAAAAGTAAGATTTTAATGATGTCTTGATATGACTTTGTCATCCTATGGTAATTTTATTAAAGCATTTCTCATGATAAGATTACATTATGTTGAAATTTGTCTTGCTCAGATGACAAAATGTTGACATTTGTTTTGCTAAGATGACATTATGTTGATATTTGTTTTGCTGAGATGATATTATATTGGCATTTGTCTTGCTGAGATGACATTATGTTGACATTTGTCTTGCTGAGATGACATACAGTGACATTTGTCTTGCTGAGATGACATTATGTTGACATTTGTCTTGCTGAGATGACATTATGTTGACATTTGTCTTGCTCAGATGAAATTATGTTGACATTTGTTTTGCTGAGATGACATAATGTTGACATTTGTTTTGCTGAGATGACATTATGTTGACCTTTGTTTTGCTGAGATGACATAATGTTGACATTTGTTTTGCTGAGATGATATTATGTTGATATTTGTCTTCATGAGATGACATTATGTTGACATTTGTTTTGCTGAAATGACATAATGTTGACATATGCTTTGCTGAGATGACATTATGTTGACATTTGTTTTGCTCAGATGACATTATGTTGACATTTGTTTTGCTGAGATGACATTATATTGACATTTGTTTTGCTGAGATGATATTATGTTGGCATTTGTTTTGCTGAGATGACATTATGTTGACATTTGTTTTGCTGAGATGATATAATGTTGACATTTGTCTTGCTGAGATGACATTATGTTGACATTCTTTTTTGCTGAGATGACATTATGTTGACATTTGTCTTGTTGAGATGACATTATGTTGACATTTGTCATGCTGAGATTACAATATGTTGACATTTTTTTGTTGTTGCTGAGATGACATTATGTTGACATTTGTCTTGCTGAGATGACATTATGTTGACATTTGTATTGCTAAGATGACATTATGTTGACATTTGTCTTGCTGAGATGATATTATGTTGACATTTGTCTTGCTGAGATGACATTATGTTGACATAAATTTTGTCTTGATGAGATGACATTATGTTGACATTTGTCTTGCTGAGATGATATTATGTTGACATTATCTTGCTGAGATGATATTATGTTGACATTTGTCTTGCTGAGATGACATTTCCTTCATTAAGCAGGGAAATTTAACACATAACTATGTACAGACAAATTAAGAATTTAAAAATTCCTTCATGTCTTCCACATAGCATAATTGAATGGCCTGTTTAGAATGTTGCTGACATGCTTCTTGTGGGGTTCTTACATATGAGGACTTTTGTATTTTTTGAAATATTTTGATAATTGCTTGTTTATGATGAAATTCATCAATTTTCTTTATATTGAGATTATTTCAAACTTTTAATTTATATATTTGATTATGAAATGTAGATAATTTGTTTAAAAATGTTTCATCCTGATTAATACTATAATATTTTTAGAAACACTAGACTCGTTACTACAGCAGGAGAACATGGTGATAGAGTTCTGGACAGTGAAGAAGAAGAAGTTAGAACAGTGTCACCAATATGTTCTCTTTGAACAGAGTGCTAAACAGGTACTTATATCTGATATTTGTATCATATGGTTGTTTGTTTACACAAACAAAATAAATGCCCATCTATCATGATACAAGGCAGCTATATGGTGGCTGTATAATCTCTTTACATGAAATAGGTTAATGTTTCTTACAGGATTTAAACCACAACAATGAAAGACATGTTTTTATAGTGTTTGTATGCCAGAAGCCATGCAGTTTTATCAGTCATTGAATTAGATAATGTTAAGTGAAAAAAATAGGGTTGGTATTTCATGGTTCCAGAATAACTTCATAACATGAACTTGGATTTTATCTGATATTGTATGTAAACTATTGTTTAGAATCTGATATAATATGTATATTATTGTATAGATATGAAATTATATGTAAATTATTGTATAGATCTGATATAACAATGTATATATAAACTTTTGTAAAGATCTTGTATGTATACTATTACATAGATCTGATATAATATGTATACTATTGTATATTATATGTATATTATTGTATAGATCTGATATTATATGTATACTATTGTATATTATATGTATACTATTGTATATTAAATGTATATTATTGTATAGATCTGATATTATATGTATACTATTGTATATTATATGTATACTATTGTATAGATCTGATATTATATGTATGCTATTGAATAGATCTGATATTATATGTATACTATTGTATAGATCTGATATTATATGTATATTATTGTATAGATCTGATATTATATGTATACTATTGTATATTATATGTATACTATTGAATAGATCTGATATTATATGTATACTATTGTATAGATGTGATATTATATGTATATTATTGTATAGATCTGATATTATATGTATACTATTGTATAGATCTGATATTATATGTATATTATTGAATAGATCTGATATTATATGTATACTATTGTATAGATCTGATATTATATGTATATTATTGTATAGATCTGATATTTATATTATTGTTTAGATCTGATATTATATGTATATTATTGTATAGATCTGATATTATATGTATATTATTGTATAGATCTGATATTTATATTATTGTTTAGATCTGATATTATATGTATACTATGGTATAGATGTGATATTATATGTATATTATTGTATCGATCTGATATTATATATATACTATTGTATAGATCTAATATTATATGTATATTATTGTATAGATCTGATATTTATATTATTGTTTAGATCTGATATTATATGTATATTATTGTATAGATCTGATATTATATGTATATTATTGTATAGATCTGATATTATATGTATATTATTGTATAGATCTGATATTATATGTATATTATTGTATAGATGTGATATTATATGTATATTATTGTATAGATGTGAGATAATATGTATATTATTGTATAGATCTGATATTATATGTATATTATTGTATAGATCTGATATTTATATTATTGTTTAGATCTGATATTATATGTATACTATGGTATAGATGTGATATTATATGTATATTAATGTATAGATCTGATATTATATGTATACTATTGTATATTATATGTATATTATTGTATAGATCTGATATTATATGTATACTATTGTATATTATATGTATACTATTGAATAGATCTGATATTATATGTATACTATTGTATAGTTGTGATTATTATTGTATAGTGATATTATTGTATACTATTGTATAGATCTGATATTATATGTATACATTGAATACATCTGTTATATATGTATACTATTGTATAGATCTGATATTATATGTATATTATTGTATAGATCTATATATGTAATATTGTATATTATATGTATACTATTGTATAGATCTGATATTATATGTATACTATTGTATAGATCTGATATTATATGTTATTATTGTATAGTGATATTATATGTATATACTATTGTATAGATCTGATATTATATGTATATTATTTATAGATCTGATATTATATGTATATATAGATCTGATATTATATGTATATTATTGTATAGATCTGATATTATATGTATATTGTATAGATCTGATATTATATGTATATGATATATCTATATTATTGTATAGATCTGATATTATATGTATATTATTGTATAGATCTGATATTATATGTATATTATTGTATAGATCTGATATTATATGTATACTATTGTATAGATCTGATTATATGTATACTATTGTATAGATCTGATATTTATATTATTGTTATAGATTTATATATATGTATAGATCTGATATTATATGTATATTATTGTATAGATCTGATATTATATGTATATATGTATAGATCTATATGTATACTATTGTATAGATCTGATATTATATGTATATTATTGTATAGATCTGATATTTATATTTATTGTTTAGATCTGATATTATATTATATGTATACTATATATATGGTATAGATCTGATATTATAGATCTGATATATATATATGTATCGATTCTGATATTATATATATATACTATTGTATAGATCTAATATTATATGTATATTATTGTATAGATCTGATATTTATATTATTGTTTAGATCTGATATTATATGTATATTATTGTATAGATGTGATATTATATTAATATTATTGTATAGATCTGATATTTATATTATTGTTTAGATCTGATATTATATGTATACTATTGTATAGATTTGATATTATATGTATACTATTGTATAGATGTGATGTTATATGATATTATTGTATAGATTGATATTATATTAATATTATTGTATAGATCTAGATCTGATTGGTATACTATTGTTTAGATCTTATATGTATAGTCTTTTATAGATCTGATATTATATGTATACTATTGTATAGATCTGATATTATATGTATACTTTTGTATAGATCTGATATTATATGTATACTATTGTATAGATCTGATATTATATGTATATTATTGTATAGATCTGATATTATATGAATACTATTGTATAGATCTGATATGTATAGTCTTTTATAGATCTGATATTATATGTATACTATTGTATAGATCTGATATTATATGTATACTATTGTATAGATCTGATATTATATGTATACTATTGTATAGATCTGATATTATATGTATACTATTGTATAGATCTGATATTATATGTATACTTTTGTATAGATCTGATATTATATGTATACTATTGTATAGATCTGATATTATATGAATACTATTGTTTAGATCTGATATGTATACTATTGTATATATCTTATATGTATACTATTGTATATATTTGATATAATATGTAAACTATTGTTATAAAGGTGTTGGAATGGATCAAGGATTATGGAGAATCATACCTTAACACCCATCAAAAACTTGGGTCAACACAACAAGAGACTGAGGCATTGTTACGTGAACATCATGAGTTCCGGGCACGAGCTAAGGTAATCTTTCTTTATGCGCCCAAAAAATATTTGGCATATAATGTTATGCACCTGGTTTTCCATCCCTCTGTTAGCAGTTTTCATGGCCTGTCTGTATATTTTGAACGGATTGAAGGAAATTGAAACTACTTGGCAGAAATGTTGACCATAATGAGAAGATGTGCAGAGCTCAGGTTTGATCTTTCTCAGGTCAAGGTCACACTTAGAAAATTTGTGTTTGCTCTGTATCTTTTGAATCAAAAGAAAGAAATCAGTGATTTTTTTACCTTTGCATCCTGAGTCCAGAACTCAATGAATTTGCTATGGATGCAAAGTTTCAAATAATGTGCATCTTTTGGATGCATACTTTTTCTAAGTAGGGAGTCCTGTCTGACAGAAATTTGGTATTAAAATTAATGCCAAATAGTGTTCAACTTATGTCAATCATATTCTAGGTCCAGCTAAGATATAATAATGTGCTATACTATAGGTAAGCTTAAAAATATTAAGGAAAATGAAGTTTTGATTAATATCAAACTAAATTAATGGAAATAAACATATTAAATTTATTTGACAGTTTTGAATAATTTCAGTATCAGAAGCATTGTAATTAATATAGAAATCAAATTCATTTTTTTCTCCATTCCATTGTTAATAACCTGTCATATCACTTAAGCAGTATTAAGATTTGTAACTTGGATTTGTCGGCTAAATTATGGGACTCATAGATTTATAGCCCAGCGAGTACTAAGGACCCACACTGATGAGTTTGTAAAAAAATCACTGAAGAAATTAAAATTTATTGGCAGAAATATTACTTATAATCAAACAGTGTGCAGGACACAGGTTCAGGCTTCCAGAAATCAAAATTATTACTTATTTTATGTAGACTTATATAGGAAAACACATTGTGTGAAACTGCAATGTCTGGAGTTTAGATATTTAGCATGTAGCGTTGCCTTATTGGCCTTTACTAAACTGAATCCTGGCCCTTGGTTCAATATTGGCCCCGCCCCAGCCATATATTGCCCTGACTTTGCGGTGCTTTCGTGATAAATTGTGAAGTCGTATGTTACTCAGTGTCACACTAAACGATAAAGAAAAATATTTTTGTCCTATGTATGGCTTTGGTTTACACGTACAGGTCTTGTTTTATCATTGATTGAACTGTTAATACAACAGCAGTGGTAATGTTGTAGAACATCTGCCTCCTATAAATAAAGCAAAGGGTTTGATCCTTGGAAGAGTCATACAAAGATTATAATGAAATAGTGCTAGATGTCAGGTAATGTATCATGTCTATCAGAACTGTGGCATTGTTTTATAATAAAGCAGCACTATAAAGATGAGTATTATGCTGTTACAGCACTATAAAGATGAGTATTATGCTGTTACAGCACTATAAAGATGAGTATTATGCTGTTACAGCACTATAAAGATGAGTATTATGCTGTTACAGCACTATAAAGATGAGTATTATGCTGTTACAGCACTATAAAGATGAGTATTATGCTGTTACAGCACTATAAAGATGAGTATTATGCTGTTACAGCACTATAAAGATGAGTATTATGCTGTTACAGCACTATAAAGATGAGTATTATGCTGTTATAAGTACACATGTTCTCTTTATATTTAATACTGAATGAATATTGAGGGATCACAGAAATCAAGCTGTTAAAGAAAGAAAATCCCATGTGAATGACAATATTGTAATATGTTTTATTGTAACTGTAGGAAAACAAGGAAAATGTGAAACTCCTGCTATCATTGGCAGATGGTTTTGTTGCTAAGGGCAACATGCATGCAAATAATATTCGAGGTTGGTGTGCAGCTGTTGACAAGAGGTATAAAGAGTTCTCTGTAAGGATGGAGAAATATCGAACAAGACTTGAAGAAACCCTAGGAGTACACCAAGTTGAAGAGGTTAGCATAGTTAAAACAGATTGTCCTAGCAAAATGTCAAATAATGTTTTATTATGCCATGGTTTTTTGTATGAGAGAGAGAGAGAGGTTGAAAGGATAGTATGTCAATGGTTTCCTGTCTTAAGTGTAGGTTATTTAAGATATTATATCGGTCTCAACAGTGTTTATCGGCTATTTAAAATCGGTTTGGAGTTTTGATGTGTAGAAATTGATCACAAAGGCCATAGGCCTGAGTGGTTAATATCGCATTAAAAAAACCAAAGCGGTGTTAAATAGCTGATAAACACCTCTCAGACCAATATTATTTATATTCTAGCAAGACAAAATAAGAGAGATCACTAATGCTATTTTTCGAGTGGAGACTTTTTGTGCTGCTGATTGATCTTGCTGGAACTGACAAAATGATTAACAACAATTGACCTCCGTACAGCAATAATCTATTAACAATGTATCAATTTTTCCCCAAACAAGATCACCAAAAATATTCAGCCTCTGTAGAGCAACACCTCTTGGTGACTAGCAAAGAATTAGTCTCCCAAAGGTTGCTCTGCAAGGGTTGTATTGTAAACATTGGCCACATATACAATACAATAAGTGTACCTATATTTCAGCCTCAGAAAGAGGAGGATACACAGAGACATAGTGACTCGTCATTAGAGGAGAAGGTGTTTAAACAAGCACCTAAAGAGCTGACAGAGGAGAAGAGGAGGTCTGCCAGAAGGAGAGAGTAAGTTACATAGTTACTATCTTTGGGGGCAATAATGTCTTATAGTGCAAATTAATGTGTATCTTATGATTGTAATTTATGCTTTATTTTGTGTTTTTAGATCAACTCTTTTCGGAAAAAACAAAGAAGTAATATTGGTATAGGATTTATAGAGTGGACAGGATAATGGAGACGGATGGACGCAACAAAGCGAATCCATTATAGCCCCCCCCCCATTCATGTCAGCATTGACATTGCTGTTTGCAAACTTATACCTTGATCATAACTTTTTAAGTTCTTGGTGTATTGCCTTTATACATGGCCACAACAACCCTTTTGACAAATCCTTCAAGTATACTAGACCTTGAAGATCAAGTTATTGAAATTTTCATTTTTTGCTTTAACTGGCTCTGACTTTGTTATTATTGAATAGATTTACTTCATATTATAACAGAACATTCTTTAGGATAAGACTTATTGTCTTACGATTATTATACCCCCACCACAAAATGTGTGGGGATTGGGGGGGGGGGTGCTATTATGGATTCGCTTTGTCGCGTCCGTCTCCATTATCCTGTCCGCTCTATAAATCCTATAACAAAAATTGAAGAATTTTCTTCAAACTTGGCTCAAATGTTCACCTCAACAAGGGGATGTGCAGAACCCATGTTGCCCATGTGTCAGCTCAAGGTCAAGGTCACAATTGAAGGTCAAATATCAAACAATCAAATATTAGACAGTATGTCGTGTCCGCTCTGTAAGTCCTACACTAATTGAAAGATTTTATTCAAACTTGGCTCAAATGTTCACTTCAACAAGGGGATGTGCAGAACCCATGTTGCCCATGTGTCAGTTCAAGGTCAAGGTCACAATTGAAGGACAAATACTCAACTGTTCTCAACTCAACTCTTTTATTTCATAGGCCCAAAATATATATCAAACAATAAAGTAGCATTTGAATCAGGTTATGTCAATATAATATCAGTATTTATGACATAAATTTCAACATAATAGCAGTATCTACGACATTGTCTATTAATTTCAATAGAATAGCAGTGTTTATAACACTGTCCATCAACCCCAACATAATAGCAGTAAATATCAAACAATCAAATATTAGACAGTATGTCATGTTCACTCTGTAAGTCCTACACTAATTGAAAGATTTTCTTCAAACTTGTCTCAAATGTTCACCTCAACAAGAGGATTTGCAGAACCCATGTTGCCCATGTGTCAGCTCAAGGTCAAGGTCACAATTGAAGGTCAAATATCAAACAATCAAATATTAGACAGTATGTCGTGTCCGCTCTGTAAGTCCTACACTAATTGAAAGATTTTCATCAATCTTGGCTCAAATGTTCACCTCAACAAGGTAATGTGCAGAACCCATGTTGCCCTTTTGCTGGCTTAAGGTCAAGGTCACACTTAATATTCTTAAATTTTAACATGTATTTGAATATTTCTTAAACTAGAAAAGGTATTTGCTTGAAACTTAAAATATATATGAAGTGTCACAATTAAGATATGCAGGGCAAGTTTCATAACTCTGTATTGCATTTTGACAAAGTAATGCCCCTCTTTTAAGTCTTCAAATTTACATACAATCAAATATTAGACAATATGTTGTGTCCGCTCTATAAATCCTATACTAATGGAAGAATTTTCTTCAAACTTGACTCAAATGTTCACCTCAACTGGGCAATGTGCAGAACCTATCTTACCCTTGTGCCAGCTTAAGGTGAAGGCTACACTTGAAGGTCAAAAATTGACTTAGAAAATATTATGAAATTTTAACATGTACTTAAATATTTCTAAAACTAGAACAGATAATCATTTGAATCTTCAAATATATACGAAGTGTCGCAAGTAAGATATGCAGGTTAAGTTTCATAACTAATAAAGGGGGCGGGGGGATAACTTTGTATTGTATTTTGACATAGTTAAGTCCATTTTTATGTCTTTAAATTTATTTACTATAATATTTCTTAAACGAGAACAAAGATTTACTTGAAACTTAAAATTTATATGAATGGTTACAAGCAAGCTCAGATGACAAAAATTCTACAATTCCATTGAATTATGACACAAGTTATGCCCCTTTTAGGCTTAGAAAATGTTCTGATATAACCATTTATACTTAAATGTTTCTGAAACTAGAACAGATATTCACTTGAAACTATATAATAATAGAAGGGTCACAAGTAAGCTCAGTATGCAAAGTTTTTCCACTCTTAATTACATTGTGACATAATTATGCTATTTTCTTAACTTCACTGCTTTTGTTTGTTTCAGTACATTGTAAAAAATGAAAGGTTATTTGTAACTGTTTCGAACATGATTTGACAATATATATTTTTACTATTACCTTTACAATTTGTCTTTTTTTCACCAGAGATAATTTCTTTTTATGTATATATTTTTGTGCCACTAAAGTTATTCTCTTAACCACCTTTCCAAGTCGTCTTCTGTCAAGGACATTGGTGGGGGTATGAATCGCATTCAGCGATAGTTCTAGTTGAATTTTGTTTAAGTTGTCATAATTTTGTTATTTATGTACGGATTTGATTTATACATGGACAAAACAACATATGTTAGCAAACAAACATGTTGAATAAATTAGATAATACCTTGACCTTTAATGACCTTGACCGTCAAATGATTCAACTCTGCTTATTTGACCAGACAGACCTATTAAAATTTAAAATCTTTAATTTTCTTTTTGAAGACTTGTTTATTTTTTGCTTTTAGAAAAAGTAAAAAAAGTTCAGCTTTGCCCCCGCCCACCATCCTTGTGGCTCTTGTTTATATGTTTTCTTTCTTGATATATACAGTGTATAATACAATTGTTATTTAAAGTATAAATTTTGATTTTGCAGGTTTATTATGGCTGAGCTGTTACACACAGAAAGAACATATGTCAATGACTTAGAGACATGTGTGAAGGTAAAATAAAACTATAACATAATGTCATGTACATATAATATGATTTTTTGTGTGCTATTGTTAACCTTACAGCAACACTTTTCAATTTAGGGTGTTGAAAAAACATTTCCTGTCCTTTCATGTCGAAAAACCTCATTAGAGTCCCTTTAAAGTGCTTACATTAAGAAACTGTATACCAAATCATTTATAGGGTTGTAACAATAATTAACTATAATCAAAAGTAGTCTATAAAGTTGTAACAATAATAAATTGTTTTCCAAAGTTGTTTTTATAAGATTAAGTTGTATATTTAGAGTTACGTAAATGAGATACAAATGGATTATTAACTTGTATATTTAGAGTTACCTGAATGAGATACAAATGAGTTATTATCTTGTATATTTAGACTTACCTGAATGAGATATAAATGAGTTATTATCTTGTATATTTAGAGTTACCTGAATGAGATATAAATGAGTAATTATCTTGTATATTTAGAGTTACCTAAATGAGATACAAATGAGTTATTATCTTGTATATGTAGAGTTACCTAAATGAGATACAAATGAGTTATTATCTTGTATATGTAGAGTTACTTGAATGAGATACAAATGAGTTATTATCTTGTATATGTAGAGTTACTTGAATGAGATATAAATGAGTTATTATCTTGTATATGTAGAGTTACCTAAATGAGATATAAATGAGTTATTATCTTGTATATTTAGAGTTACCTGAATGAGATACAAATGGATTATTATCTTGTATATTTAGAGTTACCTGAATGAGATACAAATTCATTATTATCTTGTATATTTAGAGCTACCTGAATGAGATACAAATTCATTATTATCTTGTATATTTAGAGTTACCTGAATGAGATACAAATTCATTATTATCTTGTATATTTAGAGTTACCTGAATGAGATACAAATGAGTTATTATCTTGTATATTTAGAGTTACCTAAATAAGATACAAATGAGTTATTATCTTGTATATTTAGAGTTACCTAAATGAGATACAAATGAGTTATTATCTTGTATATGTAGAGTTACCTGAATGAGATATAAATGAGTTATTATCTTGTATATTTAGAGTTTCCTGAATGAGATACAAATGGATTATTATCTTGTATATTTAGAGTTACCTGAATGAGATACAAATATCTTGTATATTTAGAGTTACCTGAATGAGATACAAATGAGTTATTATCTTGTATATTTAGAGTTACCTGAATGAGATACAAATGGATTATTATCTTGTATATTTAGAGTTACCTGAATGAGATACAAATGGATTATTATCTTGTATATTTAGAGTTACCTGAATGAGATACAAATGAGTTATTATCTTGTATATTTAGAGTTACCTGAATGAGATACAGATGGATAATTATCTTGTATATGTAGAGTTACCTGAATGCGATACAGATGGATAATTATCTTGTATATGTAGAGTTACCTGAATGTGATACAAATGGATTATTATCTTGTATATTTAGAGTTACCTAAATGAGATACAAATGGATAATTATCTTGTATATTTAGAGTTACCTAAATGAGATACAAATGGATTATTATCTTGTATATTTAGAGTTACTTGAATGAGATACAAATTTATTATTATCTTGTATATTTAGAGTTACCTAAATGAGATACAAATGAGTTATTATCTTGTATATTTAGAGTTACCTGAATGAGATGCAAATGGATTATTGTCTTGTATATTAGAGTTACCTGAATGAGATACAAATGGATTATTATCTTGTATATTTAGAGTTACCTAAATGAGATACAAATGGATTATTATCTTGTATATTTAGAGTTACCTGAATGAGATATAAATGAGTTATTATCTTGTATATTTAGAGTTACCTGAATGAGATGCAGGATCCAGATAACTTCATGCCTACTGGTATACAGAACAGACATAAAGTTATCTTTGGTAATATGGAGGAAATATATGAATTCCATAAAACGTAAGTTATTTTATCTACACAAAGAATATTAAGTTAGAATCAAGCTTGTTAATGTTCTCAGAGAAAACACTAGTTTTAGATATTCATGTACACTTAAAATTATCCAAGAGGTCAAAGCATTTTTACACAACAACCTAGTAAATGTGCAGAAGGTTTCCTTTCTCAACATTTTATTGGTCTGTCTTTTTATAATCTTTGTCTTGAAAACTATAATACAAGGGCAGTAACCAAGAAACACTTTTGGCAATAGAGCGTTCATATTGTTTTTTTCTGATCGCTTTTCGCCCCGCGTCTGTCTGGCTTCTGTCCGTAAGCTTTAACTTTTAACAACATCTCCTCATGAACTGCTCAGCCAATTTCATCCAAACTTAATAGGAATGTTCCTTTGGTGGTCACATTTAAAAATTGTTCAAAGAATTTAATTCCATGCAGAACTCCGGTTGTCATGACAATCGAAAGAAAAATCTTAAAAAAATCCTCTGTTAAAAAAAATCCCAAATAGCTACAGCTTAGATATTAAGCATGAAACATCTTCTAGTGGGTGTGTACTAAGTTTGTTAAAATAAAAGCCCTGGGGTCAATATAGGCTGCGCCCTTGGAATCATTGATTTTCCTTATATGTATATAGCAATAACTTGAAAAATCTTCTTTTAATAAAACCCAAAGAGTTAGAGCTTAGATATTTAGCATGAAACATATTCTAGTGAGTGTCTACCAAGTTTGTCCAAGTCCTTATAAATATATAACGTTAAAACTTAAAAAAATCTTCTTTTAAAAAACCCAAAGAGCTAGAGTTTAGATATTTACCATGAAACTTATTCTAGTGAGCTAGTGAGTGTCTACCAAGTTTGTTCAAACAAAAGCACTTGGGTCAAAATTGGTCCCGCCCAGGGGAGGGGGGGTGGGGTGAGGGGACATTGAATTTCCTTACATTTACACATCTGTGGCAACTGTTGTTTTCCCTTTGCAATAGCAACCAGTATTGTTTTTACACATGCACTATTTCAGATTCAAATTTGAACTTTGTGCTATCAGTTTTAGATTTAGATTTTATATCTGCTTTTGTTTATAGTTTACAATATTATTTGTTCCTTGTCATGGAGAGTTTTTATGTTCTGGTGAGTGATTTCAGGGCCATCATGACCCTCTTGTTTGAAGGAAAATAATCTTTTATTGGTGCATATGATTCTTTTACAAAATGACACTTTAACATAAAAACAGCAAAAATTTACTGATTGGCTAACAGGTTTGAAGGTTTGATTTGACAATGACCTGGAAGGAGACCAGATCATTTTAATCCCTGACATATTGTGGTAACACATTCTTTAGATTGTAACCATTTTATTCAAGTGTTATCATTGCTGTTTGTTTTTACTGAATACCTCAACTGTAGGAACAAATAATTGTATCATAAAATGATATTTTATATAGAAACACAGATCTTGGCAGTTTGTGTATAGACTACATAATGTCTAGTCAGAAATGTGAAGTTGATAATTTGTATAGAAGATTTTATACAAATAATATCAAGCATATTACAGGTGAAAGATAATCATGGTACCAGTATACGATATGTTTTAAGTACACAACATTTTATATAGTACAAGATGTTTATAGAATCTTAAGTCTTTTATACAGAGAGTGGAAAATATCACAGTTTTACCTCTGTCCATTAATGTGGCTTATATTAGAAAGTAAATATATTCGTCTTAAAGTCATAAAATAAATGGGTGAGTACAGGAGGTGGTATATATAGCTTAATGTATCTGACATAATGCCAAAGAGAGAGAGAGAGATATATATCCAGGCTTTATTTTGCTTGGTTTAAAGTTAACTCTACTGTATTATATGCCATTATTTTCATGTATCTTATTTTCAGGGTGTTTCTGAAAGAATTGGAAAAATATGAAACAATACCAGAAGATGTTGGTCATTGTTTTGTTACATGGGTAAGGTTTATGGATTTTTTTAAGTAAATAAGATATGGACTGACATTTTTTATTAGCAAATCTTTAGTATTATGTTTGTCCAATTAAGCAAAACCCTGAGTCATTGACTGTCAAGGTCAAATATGAAATTTGAATTTGATTTGTTACAAAAAACAACAACATTGTTTTATGTGAGTACTCTACTATAATAGTCTTCCTGTGATGTGTATCACTTTAGAAATTAGAAAAAGTCTAATGTGTACTAAATGACTTTAGGCTTAATAATTATAGTGTTAGGTACAATATGACCAGTTATGTTTGAATGTGCTGTTAAAACTTGATATCTTAGTAACTTACTGAATCTTCAAATAACCTCGACAACAGTAATATGTAAACAGTTTTAATGGTGTATGTAATATAGTTCGTGTTATAATAATATATAAAGTGTTTGCTACTTTTACAAAATAGATCTTTTTTCTCTTCCACCTTTCTCAAGGAATAGTCTGTTATGCCTCTGCCAAATTATAACAATTCACCTTATCCCAGAGATGCATGGTGTTAACATTTAAATGTTGTAAGTTAACCACTGGGTTTTGTTGAAAACAGCAGATTCTGACTGTTCTAAACATTTTTATGTGTAATTAAATATACACATAAACAAAAGATACATTTATCTTTATATGAATATATATTTATAGGGATAAATGTGTTTGTTATACTTGTAGGCTGAAAGGTTTTCAATCTATGTGACATATTGTAAGAATAAACCAGACTCTAACCAGATGTTAGTTGACCATGCTGGAACCTTCTTTGAAGTAAGTATGATATTGTAATACAATCTGACCAATAATTACTTATATATATATATATGTTTAATTTTTGTTTTAGTATGCAAATGATAGATTTCCAGCATTATGATAAACATGTATCTCCAGTTAACTGGCTTTGGATCATGGATCCATTCCTTTCTCATTGATATTTCTTGATATGATGTTAGATTTAATTTGCAAATAATATAGGGTTAATATACCTTTTTTTCTTACATTAAATACTGCGGATAGATGCATCTAAAGTTTGAGTCTGTAGCATAAGTTATTTAATAAAGTTGCAGAGCTTTTGCAGATGATTATGCAAGAAAAGGGTACATTAGAGCTATTCATGCATAAAAATATATGTCTGATTGGGTAATTTTGTATTCATCATTTGCCTTCCTTATAAAGAGACCATTTGTATTAGGGTTTTTACATTTGAGTGTGACCTTTTTAATAGTTTAGTTTTGAATATCCATGACCTTACCTGGGCTGTAATAGACCTTTTTTTTTCAATGCAAATATTATAAAATGAAAGTGTAGTAGTATTTTCTTCTCAAGTATTGAGCAAGTAATGTGGATTATGGAATATAAACTCAAATGTGCATTAACAAACTTCATTCTCTAAATCTTGTAATGTTTGATGACATATCTTTTGTGTAATTGGAAGAGATTGTGATTTAGAGTTGCAAATATCAACAGCAGTACTAAATAGTTCCAAATAGAGGACTCAAAATTACAGATGTAAGCTGCAAGAATTTGTTTCACCAGAAAGAAAAGAAGGAAAGAAAGAAACAAGGGAGGGCAGGGATGGAAGAGGGAAGGAAGTGATACAATATTTCTAAGGTGTTGGTAGTTTACCCTCAAGATCACGACACAAAGCCAGTTTGAATTCACCAAATCACAGTTCAACAACCTTATTGTTTCTGGACAGACTGTCAAACAGTTTACCAGTACTATTTCCTTCATTTTTACAAGGAACTGTTAACGTTTGTACATGCCAGAGCAGTGGTACAGTGGGAATGACCATGAAAAGGATTTCATAATCAATCACAATGAAAGAGACCTGCACTGCCTCAGGATTGAGCCCAGTCTAAGATTGATTTAAAAACAAATGTTTACCGTATATAGCTCCCAGGAGGAATTTATGAAAGAATGTTCTGTATATGATATTTACATTATTACATATATTTATGTTTCTTGTAGGAGTTACAGAAGAAACACCAGTTAAGTGAGCCTGTATCTTCCTATCTTATAAAACCAGTACAAAGAATTACCAAATACCAGCTTCTTCTCAAAGATCTTCTTTCCTGTTGTGAGGGACATACAGGGGAAATTAAGGTATACTACACATTTTCTCTTAACAAGACATAATTTATCTAATTATTATTATAAAAACAAATGGATAAAAAGTGTGAGAGGGTGACATGTGTGTAAGTAAATTAGATATATAAAATCCCACTTTTGTTCAATTTTTAAGGGGATGTAAAATTTATTGATCTGCCAAGGATTTTACATTAACCATGTTATTTTTTTATGCCCTAAATGCAGACATATAGTAAAAGTTTGTCTGTCTTTGAGTTCTTAAGGTAAATGTTTTATGGCAAGTTGGATGTTTTGCCAAGTTTAACTTGTACTACTAACTTCAAACACTTCAGTAACCATGATTCTGTCAAAGTAATCAGTTTTCCTCAGTTATCTTCACCTTATACTCTTTGAACATTTTTATTGTTAAGCTGGCAGTCTCTTCTACATCATGCTAAATAGGTATGATAGAATCTGTTATTGAGTAACATAGAGGATTGTTGGCAAATCCAAACCTGAGTATGATTTGTCTTGTCCGGAACGAGCCAAGGCAAGTTCTCAATGAAACTTATTGCCCAATGATATGTCTAACTAACTGATTTACTAATGACAATTCTGTGTGGTATAGAAGGGGACGCCTTTACATTACTTATAGTTTAGGAAAAATATCTCTATTTCTTGACTCAGTTTAGGCCCACTATTTTACTTTACATTTTAGACAAAAAAAATGACATTTTTAGTATGTTTGAAGGGGGTGAGAAATATATGGTAAGAATGAAAGAGGATTTGTCTTTCCTGCATGAAAGTATTACCTGTAACATAAAATTTGTCTATAAAAATTTTAGGATGCACTTGAAGTGATGTTGAATGTTCCAAAAAAAGCAAATGATGCCATGCACTTGAGTATGTTAGAAGGACTGGAAGATAGTCTAGAGGCTTTAGGAGAAGTTATACTACAGGAAAACTTTACAGTGTGGGACCCTAAACAACTTATAAAGAAAGGTCGTGAACGTCATATCTTCCTGTTTGATATGTGTCTAATATTTGCAAAAGAATCAAAAGACAGTAATGGAAAAACCAAATATATGTACAAGTTCAAACTAATGGTAAGTTTTATCTTTCATATTATTTATTTCAGTATATTTTAATGATGCAATACTTGTGTAGCTTACTTGAGCACTTAATGTGTGATATATTACGAATGATTAGTTAAAGGGACTATACTGACGTCTAAAAGCATAAAAAAAATGAAATTTGACAATTCTAATATATATCATTTGTTGTACTTAAAATGAAAAATTTGCAAAAGATAAAGAAGTATACCGAGAATTAAAATGAAAACCAATATTTTGTGTGGTTCTATGTCAAGTTTGAATTGGGATCACCTAAAACCCGTGACAATATCTAATTCCGTGACGACCGTGACGACATAAATCCGTGACATGTACCTAAAATCCGTGACACACTGAATTTACCGTGATATATAATGCAAGGCACTAAATACCGTGACGAACTATATTCGCTGTTATTCGTCTGTCATGAAGGGTAGCTAAAACCCATGACGATGCAACTAATCCTAATGATAATGATTCTTTTTTTCTTTTTTTTTTCTTTTTTCTTCATTTAATGAAAGCATAACATTATGACGTGTAATGAATTAAAATCCGTGTCACACTGAATTTACCGTGATATATAATGCAAAGCACTAAATACCGTGACGAACTATATTCGCCGTTATTCGTCTGTCATGAAGGGTAGCTAAAACCCGTGACGATGCAACTAATCCTATTGATAATGATTCTTTTTTTCTTTTTTTTTTTCTTCATTTAATGAAAACATAACATTATGACATGTGATGATCGAATTAAGGGAAATGAGTAAAACAAGTGACGATAAAGTACAGTATTAAATTTATTTTAAATTTAAACTAAAGTTTTAAAGTATATATTATACATTGTACATTACATGCGTTTTTTTCGTCGTATGTTTCTCTTTTGGGGGTGTGTACATTTTGTACAGAAATATGGAATGTCATCACCAGGAATGTCATCTTTTTGTAGACCCTCACATTCTGGATGGTACCATATTTTGCATTTATTGCAAACAACATACAAACCATCTTCTGGCATTCGGCAAGAACAAAACACCTTAAGAAATGCCGTGTATCTGACACCATTCGGGTGCTCGAGGGACCGGGTGCCAGCGGGAAATGGTACAAGCTTACCCTTTTCCAAACATTGAATCAGGTGACCACGAAGCAGTTCTACGTCATACCTTTGGGTGCAGGGATCTATACCGTTGGCTTCCGCAGTTGCGTTTGCAATTGCATAGAGACCACAGTCATTGCCGTTTTCCTGGAATGCACAGTCCATAAAATTCAACAATATTTTATCATTCTTTTTTGGTGGGGTATCTTTTCTAAGTAAATTGCAAATAACTTGCTGTGTAGAAAAACTTAGTGATGTGAAACCTGAATCGAAACTTAGTGATGTGAAACCTGAATCATAAATTTTTACTTCCGACTTGTTATTTGTTTTCATAGTGGATAATGTCAGCCAATGTGACCCACCCTGTTCTGGCGTTCTGTTGACGATCTGAATGAAATTTCCAAAAGCACGAGTAAACGTTAGAGTTGCTGCATTTAGGCAACTGTCCAGCCCCCATATATGTGGGAACTGTGTCTTTAGAAGAGACATCGCCGCATCAATCAACCGATCATTTAACCACTCTGTTGGTGAATACAGGATACATTTTTCTTCGTCCTTAAGTTTAATCTGCCCAATATCTAGCCATTCTGGTCCACTTACCGATGTGTTGGACTGTACTGGCTCTCCTGGTTCAATATCCTGTTCAATATATATAGTATACGATGGTTCTTCCGGCGGCTGAGTCGTCACGGATTTTTCCTCCTGGTCCCGAGTTGGTACTGTCACGGGTGAATCTAATTTCCGTGACGACTGAATCGTCACGGGTTTTTCGACTTCATCCGTCACGGGTAATTTCCGAGATGGCTGTATTGTCACGGGTTTTTCAATTCTCCGTGAATTTTTGTCAGGGGAAATTATGTAATCAAAATCATCTTGTCTAGGTCGTTTTCTTCCTGCTTTTTTCTTTTCATCTAAACCTCTAAGTGTTGTTAGGTTGGGTTTTGTTTTCAAGTTCACTTCCATACCTATAGATTTCTTAACAGCTATTAAATGATAGCAATGCGTGTTTCCACACGAACATGACTCGGGGAATAGTGTTACAACCCGAGCCTTGTCATCCTGTCCTAATATCGTAAATGTACCTAGCCTTGGAGCGAAAACGATTCTATCATTTTTTATAAGTTCATCAGCGCGTGAGAAGTTAATATCAATCTTTGGGATATTTGGTTCTGGATGTGCGTCATTTTCTGCATTAGAGACAAATTGGTTTTCACGAATGCCATTTACAATATCTTCTGGTTGTGAAACTGTAAATTGGATAATTTCTGAGAGATCAATTTTAGCTGAAATGTATTGAGGTTTTAAAGTGTAGGTACCAATGCCTGCGCGACCACGAGAAATTTCCTTAAGATAATATTGATGAAGACGTAGAAATGACAATACTACCACATCTGCTGGGGCTTCTTTCCATTTATTGAGTTGTTTAAATACTTTGTTCATACTTTCGCTCTGATTTTGAGTTATGCCACTGTATGGGTCGTACTTTGTAATTTTTTCTATTGCCCATTTTGAAACCTTCCCAAGTTGAGGTAATATTCTTTCTTCAAAATACTTTCGAAATTGTTCATCCCAGGCTGTATTTAATTCGGCAAATGCAGCCATACCGTCATCTCTGGAATCTGTTCCAAATATAAATCGAATATGATCCTTATAAGCTAGAACTTCTGAGTTGGAAAATCCATGTTCAGTCAGCCATCTTCCAATATCATTTAGTATGTGGTTCCAACATCTCACATCAACAAGTGTTGGAACACAAGACATGGCATTCATGATCCCCTGTTCACCGTCTGTGACACAAGCAAACAGCGTTTTTGGAAGACTTATATTTTCTTTGAAAAAATTGAACAATAATTCGTGGTGTTTTTGGAATTTGCGCTCATGCAGCATAAATATTGCTGGCATGCATGGCATTTCCTTAAAAAGAATATGTCTAAATATCAGCGTAGATACGTAGAAATCCCCAAGTTGAAAAGTTGTGTCATAGCTGAGGCACTGACTTTCATTGTCAAGGTAAAGAACTCTTTCCAGTTCTTCGAACATAAGTTTATGTCCGCATATAACAACTAAATTTGGAAAAGTATTGATTACCTGAATAAACTGATTGCTTGTGTCTCTAGCTAAAGCATGCAGATTGTATAAGGCATCACGAGATATTCTAAGTTCTGTGTTTCCTTTATGTCGCAGATTTTGGATTTGTTTTAAGTCCCTTGGCTGTTCGTCGTTGTCATGAATTTCTTTCTTATAAACTAAATTGGGATCCTCCGATTTTGTTTTATTTAGCCATTTTTCTAGACTGCTTGGCTTTGATCTTAAAAAAGGGCGTTCCTGGTTTTTTGAATTTCCATGGGACATCGGCTGTGAGATTTGTTCATTGCCGATGTATTGAATAACAAAAGGACCGTTAATGCATTCAGGTTCATGGTAAACAAATTTAACAAATTCTTTCGATGCCCCATTCTCGGTATGTATATAAAAATATTTTTTCTTTAACCGCGGATTTTTGCGTGGAAGACCCACAGTCCCTTGGTTTATCCAACGATGTCCGTCAGCTCGCCAATCCTGTGCTTTTAGACCGTCCCCTTTAAAAATCCAAGTTTCGCCACCTCTTGGTTTAAAAGGAAGCGACGATATCGGCGGTTCGGACCGTATAAGACGTAGAATTTGGTCTGTACTCAATGACATTTAATTCTATGTTTCTACCATCTTAACTGACGTTGTTACTAAGTCAATCATGTGACGTTATTGTAATATAAAGTTGTGATCGCAACGTGATAGTAATGTAAATTATAAAAGATAAAACCAAAAATTATCATTCATAAAATCAAATAAAATCTTTAGTAACTTATATTTAAATAAATAATCTAACTTAACAAAATAACAAAACCCGTGACATAACCCGTGACAGTAAATTATATTTTCCGTGATGATGCCGTCACGGGCGTCACGGGTTTTAGTATATCTGTTTGAATTTGAAGTGTTTAAAACACTTTTCAGTCGTTTTGTTTCTTTGTTTGCTTAAGTAGGTCACAGAGCAAAAAAAGTGGTTTTGAAAATGCAAATTTTAAAAAGCTTTGATATGAGGTAGGATGTAGAGGTCTACTTCCAGAGATGTTGAAATAATTTCTATAGGTTTAGAATTTGCCCACTTGCAGGTTCCATGTGTTTTACTGATCTGTACATAGTAAAATCTTTTTGTTTGAAACCCAAGTGCTAAAGCTTAAGACAGTTGACATTAAGTAACCTCTTATTGATTTCTACCAAGATTGTTCAAATGATAATTCTGGGGCCCCTAAACCAGGAGGTTTCTTTGATGTTTCATTATAGATGTACATGTAGCTTGAAAGTTTTAAAAATCTTACTTCCAAACCCCAAGTGATAGACCTTAGGTGTTAAGCATGAAACATTATGTGTAAATTATGGCCCTGGCCCCGTGTTCACTAAGAAAAGATCAGGATCAAATAATCCTGATTTTATTTTCATTGTTTTATGTTACTAAAATTATTCGTGTTTTGTTAGAATTAAATGGTAAATATTCAAAATGTAAAAAATTGCTGATTTGCAAAGAAACCAAACTACTATGGGATAAAATCAACAAATAACAAAACAACTACAAAAATATTGGGATCAAAATAAGGTTCAATTTTAGGATCAGGATCAATTCTTGGATCAACTGTAAAATGCTTGTATCTTGCAAAAATAACAATAAATTTATTCTAAAATTTATAAACTTGCTATCGCAAGTCCAGTTTTATCAAATTAATTTTAGATATTTAATAAATGAGGATAAACAATAAGGAATATTGAAGTTTTTAAATTTGATCTTGATCCTGATCCTTAAATCTTTGTGAACATGGGGCCTGGTGTGAAAATAAGCGTGCCATGGGCTCATTGGCTTTTCC